AGCAGGTCTGTAGCACCGAGTAAACGATGGCCGGTGAGGGTGGGGGGGGGGGCAGAAGAGAAACTGTGTCAGTTTTAATGAACACTACAGCATGGATTTTGCGAGCCGACATCAAATGAGAAAAGTGAGCCGACATTAAAGAGATGGCGTCAAACGAGAGGCAATAGAAAAGTAGTGGAGGAGGACGATGATGATGAGGAAGAGGAGGATAACAAGAAGCAGTAGGAGAAAACGTCAAATGCGAAGACGAAGAACAACAACAGCAAGAAGAAGATGAAAATTAAGGAAACCGCGGCAGCAGCAGCGGTGGCGGATATAACAGCAGCAGCAGCAGCAGCACCACCACCACCACCAGCACCAGCAGCAGCAGCAGCTATAGCAGTAACATCAGCAGCAATAGCAGCAGCAACAGCAACAGCAGCAGCAGCAACAACAACAACAAAATCAACGATAACAGGCACGCGCAGCTGCGCTCACCCTTCGGCTGCTGAGACGCCGCTCTGACGTCACGAATCATTGGCAGTCCGAAGTCGGTGATTTTGAGAACAAATCGGCTGTCAATAACGGCGTTCGATGACTTCAGGTGTCCGTGAACGGAGATTGGAGATTGGTGTATGTACGTCATTCCCTACACGGAGGCAGAGTACACTAGCAGTTAAACATAATTACAATAATCTAGATCATACTTTTCGGTCACACTTAGGCGCTTAAAATGGACAAGGGTATGCCCGAGAGAGATGTGCATGCATGGTAAAATCCGCTCTAAACAATTCACCTTCGTCGCAGCATCGCGCCACAATCCTTTCCCCATGCCTATGTACACAATGATGGAGCTGCCATCGCTAGTTGCATTGTCAGTCAGGATAATTTCTTTCGGCCAAACTTACGCGCGAAAAATTGGCAGACACATGCCCGGAGGAGACATAGCGAAATCCGCTCCAAGCATTTCACTTTAGCCGCAGCATCCCGCCACCATCCTTCCCCATATGTTAATGTACACGCTGGGTGGCGCTCGCGTCGCTGGTCGCGTCGGCAGCCGTGACGACCCCGTCAGCTCACTTAAACTCACCTGCACGAGGTCGTTAATCAGCGAGTGCTTGAAGGTGGCGTCCAGCTTAATGGCGTCGTTACCGAGTATGTCCTGCAGGCTTCCCTTGGGCGCGTAGTCGGTGAGCACGTAGAGAATAGTGTTGTGCTGGGCGACGCCCACGAAGCGGTTGAGATTGTCGTGCGAGACGTCGCGCATCTGTAACGACGAGGCGACACTAACATGGCCGGCTCACGTGGATACTACATACACACGCGCGCGCATGGACGCGCGTACGCACGCGAGCTCTCTCGCACGTATGTAGTATATAGCAGTCTATAGTAGATCCAACGCGTGTAATATGTGACAAACGGGGAAAAAATGCGGTAAAGGAACATTTATTTTTCACATCGATGGAAGCTGTTTTTGTTTTTGTGATAGAGAGAGAGAGAAGAGAGAGAGAGAGAGAGAGAGAAGAAGAATCAGTGGGGTGAATCGCAGTACTGCCTGAGCGCTGTTAAGATCATCTACATAGATAAATTAACGCAAATTACCTATTGCTACCTTCTATAGCATACATAATCTATATATTTACCATATAAATTATCTGATTATTGTTTATTGATTCTATGAACGTTACAGATACCCACATCTGTTGGGTTCGCGGCGTCTGTCATTAGCCGCCGGACAACCAGACACATAATTGCCATCTTACTAAAGTCGCACCTACCGGGTAAAGCCATGTCAATTATAGACATACCACACACCTATATATTTGTAGAATGTGTGCGTGTGTGTGTGTGTGTGTGTGGTGTTGTGGCTGTGTGTGTGTGTGCGTTGTTTGTGTGTGTGTGTGTGTGTGCGTGTGTCGTGTCGTGTGTATTGTGCGTGTGTGTAGTATGCGTGTGCCGTGTGTGCGTGTGCGTTGTGCGTGTGTGTGTGTTTGTGTTGTGTGTGCGTGTGTGGTGTGTGGTGCGTGCGTGCGTGCCGTGTCGCGTGCGTGCGTGTCGTGTGTGTCGTTGTGTATGTGTGTGTGTCTATGTCTATGTCTATGTGGTGTGTGCTGTGTGTGCGTGTGTGTGTGTGTATGTGTGTGTGTGTGTGTGTTCGTGTGTGTGTGTGTGGTGTATGTATTGCGCTATTGTCCTTGCGCTGACTTACACATGTGCGGACTACACCTAAACCTATTGAGGACAATATGCAATCGCAAATTCACGTGCCGTAATTTTCTAAAAATTTTTCTAAAAATATTTTTAAAATTCCTAATGGTTTTCACCATCATGACGTGACGCATACGGGCGGATAAAAAGTTATCCGCGCTACGGATGCCGATATGTGAGCCCGAATTATGCATATTCTGCTTTTGCACCCCAATGAGTGTCTGCATGCTGTACTACCCAGCGCGTGCTATCGACGCAGGCGAACACTATAGACGCATACGCTACGACGCTGGGAAACCCCCCCCCCCCCCCCCCCCCCTAATAGGTGCTCAGTTGCAGAAAATCGCTTGGTGCGCGATATAAAATCTCAGAGAAAATTAAAGCTCGAGGCTAATGTTTTGGGAGAGCCGAATTACAGCGTGCCATGCGACATGTAATTTACAGGAGAATTACAGGGTGGATCGACAGCGTGAGCTTACAGCGCTAAGTTACAAATGATCGACATTTGAATTACAGGTAAATTACAGGTCATTGACAGGTGACTTACAGACGAATTACAGGGTGAATTTACAGCGCGATTTACAGGTGATCGAAGCGTGACTGTACAGACGAATTACAGATGATCGACAAGCAGTGACTTACAGGTAAATTACAGATGATCGAACAGATGACTTACAGGTAAATTACAGATGATCGACCGCGCTGAATTACAGGCTAAATTAAGTATGATCGACATGTGACTTACAGCGAGTTACAGGTGATCGTGAATCCTGTCGGTAGAGGGCAGAGTGGACGCTACTCTAAGGACCCGTCTCCACAGCGGCCGTGCTTGCTGAAAAAATACATTGTGATTTCGCGCATTGTGTCTGCAGCGCATTGTGCTTCACATCTGGCTTCAGTGATCAGAAAATTGATGCATGTGCTTGCTGCTCCATTGGCGCATGGTACGCGTTGAGCAGAACACGTGATGCAAAAACAATCGCGTTGATTGTTCAATTATTGCTTTCGCCGCTCACGTCAGCCGCGCCAAAATCAAACTCATTTGACTTTCTGTCGTTCGCGTTGAAAACCCGCGTTGGCGCCGTGCCGTGTCATGCCGTCATAAGATATTAATAGCATTCTGAACTTTGCCGGTAGGTGTGAACACGCCGTTTTCCGTGGCGTTCCGCCTGCCGCCGTGTGGGAACGAGCCTTTAACTGATTATAGGTCGATGTCACCCTAAACACACGGCGATGGTTAGCTTGGTTATAGCCATGTCACCCTACACACACGGCGATGCTTAGCTGCCCGTTTATAGCCATGTCACCCTACACATAACGGCCTGATGTTAGCTGGTTAAGCCATGTAACCCTTACACACACGGCGATGTTAGCTGATTATAGCCATGTCACACATACACACACGGCGATAGTTAACTGGTTATTAGCCGTGTCATTCCTACACACACGGCGATGTTAGCTGCGTTATAGCCATTTCACCCTACACACACGGCGATTGTTAGCTTGGTTATAGCCATGTCACCCTACACACACGGCGATGTTAGCTGGTTATAGCCATGTAAACCTACACACACGGCGATGTTAGCCTGATTATAGCCATGTCAACCCTACACACACGAGCGATGATTAAGCTGCGTTGATACCATGGTCATCCTACACACACGGCGATGTTGAGCTGGTTATAGCCATGTCACCCTACACACACGGCGATGTTAGCTGGTTATAAGCCATGTCACCCTACACACACGGCGATGCTTAGGCTGGTTATAGCCATGTCACCCTACACAACACCGGCGATGTTAGCTTGATTAGTAGCCATGTCATCCTACACACACGGCGATGTTAGCTAGTTATAGCCATGTTCAGCCCTACACACACGGCGATGGTTAGCTGTTAGCTCTAACTCCACGCGACACGTCGACCACGTGATAATTACATTGAATTGAATGATGCATTCGTTTTTGGCGTGAAAGATATCGGCAGTATTGCCTCATCTCTCCTATAGCTTCGTATACGTATCTGTTTCTATTAGCAAAGCTGGTAGCGGTGCAGAGAGACGAATCATAAACTGGATATCAACTTGAAAGTGCTAATGGAGTCAAAAAGTAGAAGGGCTGTTGCAGATTATGTAGTATGTGTATGGGTATGCTGTCTTGCCAGTATATGGGGTTTCACACATAAACCACACACACACACACACACACACACACAGCAAACACACACACACACACACACACACACGCGCGCGCGCGCGCGCGCACACACACGCCACACGCACACATCTATATATATATTAGGTGTAACAAAAAAGGCGGGCGTGCGTAGTTAAGGAAAAAACTACTTCAGGTTTGAGATTATGCTTCCAATCCACTTCTATTCGACCATGGGCAATCTAGAGGGTGTACGTAGTTAGCTCTACCGAACTTGCTGATTAGTACTCCATAGCTCATAAATATATAATTATATACACCTGCTTCTCCTCCATTCTTCTCCTGATAGGAAATTGGTGAAGGATAAAAGGAGAATAGAGAATGATTATACCGAGCACTGTGCGCCGCCGCACTGTGGCCCGTTTCCCGATAATTGCCTTTCGAATTTCTCTCAAGTACAACCGCTAGCGCCTACAATAAAAACCGCTAAGTACAACGCTAGCGCTACAATAAAAACCACACACACACACACACACACACACACAACACACACACACACACACACACACACACACACACACATCACACATACACTAACATACACACATACAACTAGACAGATTGCATCAAAAAAGAGCTGCATACCTCGCGAGCGCTGTAACAGTAATACAATGTGTGATAACAGCTGCTCGCTGGCTGGCGCTGCCTGCTGGCTGGACGCCTAAGGCAGCTGCTGCTGAGTGGACGGCCTAAAGGCAAGCTGGTGTCTGAATCGATCGATCCGGTGAGCGTGTAGTAGTAACAGCTGGCATCGCTGGCTGGCCCTACACATCACACGAACACACACACACTGAGCGGAATTGCATGAACTCCGTTTGTAACGCGGAGGCTAACAACACACACACACACACACACACCACACACACAAACCACACCACACACACACACACACAAAAAAACACACACACGCACAAACACACAGCACACACACACACACACACACACACACACACGCCACACGCACACATTTCTATATATATAATATTATATATATGTATATATATAGGTGCTAACAAAAAGAACAACGTGCAATCTGCAGTTGAAAACCCCAGATGTAGAAAAAAACTACGTCAGGTTGAGATTAGGCTTCATCACTTCTAGCTACCATAGAAATCAGTAGGGCGGAACGTTCGCTATGCTCTACTCGAACTGCTGATTACGCATTGTCTGAACAGTTGCTGACGAGTTCAGACAATTTTTGTACAAGTCATTTATATATATAGTGCGTATAGTTATGTATGTGTGTGTATATATGTTATGTATGTGTATATATATATATGTGTATACATACATATATATGTATATATATATATTATGTTATATATATTTATATATATATATATAATACATATAATATATAACATATATATTTATATATTATATATATATATTATATTATCCTACCCCTGGTATAAGCCTTAGCGAACTTGCTGTTGAATGTTGTTTTTATAGATCGGATCAGATATAAATGGCGGCAATAACATTAGAAATAAACAAAAAAAGTCAAAGCGAAAAAACAATAGACAAATCAAACAATAGATCGGATTAAAACTACATAACATAGATAAACTAAAACCAATAGCGCCATTCATGAATATGAGGTTATAGTATGCCATATAAGCGTTTATTCTTCAAGTCTGTCTGATGATCGCGTAGCCGTGAAACTCGGCAGTAACCAGGCTTAAAAGTGATGTATTGTCTTTAATTTATCTACAGATCTACAATTTATTACGCTCTGCCAACTTAATGCATAGATCACTTCTACCGCATAGCTATAGACTCAAGCATCCAGTCTTATATATACTATATATATATATATATATATATATATATATATACTATATGCAGAGAGAGCGAGAGAGGCGCGCGCGAGCCACGCTTGACATGTTTTTACTATAATACATTCGCCTGCCACCTGACAAGCTCGCGTCATACCAGCGTTAATATGCATGCAATATAATAGCAGCATACAGTGACACGGCCTCTGCTGACAATAATACACGCAACATG